AGCCTGAATGCCTTCCACATCCCCCCCCCCCAGGCGCTGTATAATCCTCCGGGTTTAGTGCTTCCATCCCCCCTTGAATATAATAATAATCCACTAGAGGCTTTGAATACTAAGGTCGATGAACCCTTGCCCTTAGGGTTCGATCCCATTTAGGTCATTATAGGAATTGTGACCTCAGCAGACAAGTCAGCGGCCTCATCAACTCCTCACCTTTACTCAGGTTACGTTCTCTAATGAAGTTCTTTATTCTGGTGGGGAACAGCTGTCAGGAAACATGTCCGCAACCTGAAGTCCTCTAAGGAGATTCATAACTGTGATCAATTCCTGAACTCTCTATCCAAAAAAGTCGCTACAAACGAAAGAGTGTTACCTGTAACTGCGAAAGTTCTGGCCAGGCTTGTAAGGTGGGCATAACTGAAATCTTCCTGTAAGTAATTAGTGGTTTTTTGATATGGCTTTTAAGATTGCCTTCTTCAGTAGGTTATAATTAACATATGATATCCTGCGACAAAGTTTGGCCATAGATATTCACAGCTGTACCGAAAAATATCATTCCTAACCTGGTAGCCCAGGTGTCAGCAGGCCATTCACAGAGGGTAGCAGTATTTTCGAACCTGATAATGTATGAAGTTATGTCGTCCCCCTCTGTGACGGGAGGTAAATTAGGTTGTTGGAATATGTGCACTAGCTGCATGATTGTTCAATTACTCCTTCCTCTAATTGTTGTTGTGTAAAAGTTAACTTCTTATTCTCTAGTTCAAGCGAGATTTTTCGAGCTCGCGATCCTTTTCTCTCTCTATTAACACATGTTCTCTATCCTTTGCTCTTTCCTCAAATTCTCTTAATTTAACTTGTTCCACACGTATCTTAGCTTGTTCCTCACATATTTTAGCTTGTTCCTCACGTTCTCTAGCTCTTTCCTCAGATCAAGCCCTATCACGCTCTTTTTTTCTTCCTCGCTCTCTTTCTAACTGTCTTTCTTTGTTTTTCTTTCAATTCTCTCTCTCTCCTTTTTCCTCCTGTCTTTCCCTTTCTGTCTTCTTCTCTCTAAATTCTCTCTTTTCAATTTTCCTTTCCTGGATCTTAGCACTAATGAAAGATTCTAAATTTTTCCCTGTTTTCCCTAACTTACTTCCAGCATTCATCCAAAAACTGGTATTCCTCCATACTTGCAAGAACTTAAACTACCAGGGGGAAATGAAAAAGGGTCTCAAAGAAAACGGAGGGTTTTAATTCCTGCTCCCTCAAACGTAAATAAACCAGGGGCTCGATCCCTGCTTCAATTAAACAATATGTATTAATGAAAACGAAGGGTTTCTATGCCGGCTCCGAGCAAAAAGTAAGTAGAATTGGGGTCACTTGACCCAATCTTTCCACGAAAAAAATCAAGAGTGTCCTAACGACAGTTCCCTTGATAAAATAAAGAGCTCAATGAAACAAATGTCACTGGAAAAACTCGGGTCCCTAGAGTCTAATCCTCCAAGTTTTTTCAAGCTCGAACAAAACGGTGGCAGAATTAAATATATCCTGCCTGACTTGACTTACAATAAATTGAGACTATAACAATCACCAAATCTTTTAAAAAACCTGTACAGTAGTCCTACCCTAGAGAATGATTACTCATGGCCCGGGGGTAACCGTCTGTGGTATGCGGCGTGAAGTTCCAATGCTAGATTCGAGATGGAATTGGGAAACTTGATTCAGTAGAGTTGATCCTGGCAAGGTCGCCACTTGTGAAGACTTACTCAGCGCTGTAACAACTTCAGACAGTATTACCAAGGCTGGCTCCTCCTCAGGAAATTAATGAATAGAAAAAGAAAATAATAACAGACAAACATAAACACTTTATTATATAGAAAATATAAAATATAAAACACTTAAATATGAAATATTAACCCTACATTAAAAAAAAATGAAAATGAAAAATTAAAATTTTAAAATGAATTCAACGCAATGTATATATATAAAACTTGGGTGTCTGGTGTTGGGACACTGCTGTTGTTGAAATCGTAGCCGTTGCTAATGATGAGGGGGGGGTCGCAGGCGTGGGTGACAACCCACCGGCTCATTCTTCACAGATTTTATAGCGGTCAATAATCCGTCCAGCTGACAGGAAAGCAGGTTCTTTACCACTGCAATGATGAGGGTTATATCCTGCTACTTGCTTACACAAAAAATTAAGTGGATCAAAAAATTGGGACGTCTCGGGAACGTTAGTCGTCTCTTCAATTTACTCGTTGATTCAGGTGACCTCTTGTCTTTCAACCCTGTAAAGAGAGACAGATTACCCACTGCTTAGAATCATCTCCATGATAATTTACAATACCTAAAGATGTGGTGAAATTTAAACATTTTTACATCAAACTAAAAGTGTTAAATTTTGGGCTACTTCAACCAAAGACTGAAAGGGACTTAAAGTTTGGGAGCTCAGACGAGTATTTACTGTTTCTGGACCCATGTAACCTTTCGGGGGGTAGGGGGGAAGAACAGATTTACCACCTTAAAACACTAAATCAAACTACATCAAAAAAAGGGGAGGGGAAATTAGGGGGAGGGGACTTACCTACAACGAAGGAGAAATTTTTATAATTGGGTGGCAAAGTTTGAGGGTTAGGTTGGGTTCAGTAAAAACGCAGCGTTGTGATCAATTAAAGTAGTGTTGGGAGCTGCCAGAACGGGATGATTTAACTGTTTGGAACTTGGGGGGAAGGGGGGGGCCCCTCCACATGCCCCCACCCTTTCCCCGGGGGGGGGAAGAGGGGAAGGGGAAGGGAATCGAGGAAGCATATACTGGAACCCTACCTTTAACATAGAAGCTGGGCAATCAAACCTAATTTAAAACTTTCTCGGGGAGTGGGGAAAAAAAGGGAAGGGGGGAATCAGCGGGGGGCCCGGGACCAAAACCCCCTACAACTAAAAAAAAGGTAGCCTGGCAATGAAAACATTTTACTAATAAAACTCCCTTTCCGGTATTACCTATCTTTTGGGGGAACCTTTTCCTTTCCCTACCGGGCTGGGCATGCAAGAGGTTAAAATGGTGGAGAATGGGGGGGTCGGGGGAAATTATGCCAACAGATATGGGGAATGACGGGCAACTTAAGAAACAGAAGAAAAAAAAGCACTCATATTCAATTTAAGGTAAAGCAAGAATAAACCCCCATTAAAACCCCAAGGCAGGGAACGGGTTCTAAACATGGTTGGCCAAAGGACAAGCATTAAAGGGAAAAAAACATTTTAATTAGGTTTGAAAAAGCCCGGAAAGGTGTGGGTAGCCCAAAGGGGGTAAAGGGAAAACGAAACTCAAATTACATAACCTCTAACGACAAATTTAAACCTAATCACATACTGACACATAAACCCACAAAATTCCCATCCTTTCCCACCAACACACAACAAATTTCCACCACACACAACCCCAAACACCACAATCGCCTGGACAGGGGTCCCACAGGGGAAAGCCCCGGGCGCATCCATTTTTTATTTGCAAAAACAATGGAAGAAAGATGGAAATTCCCCATTACTCAGATATGGAACAATGAGAAAAATTTTAATCAGGTAGGGATGAGGCAAACGCAAAGACCTGGAAGGGGGATCATGGGGGGTTCCCAAAGGAAACTGGTTTCAATTTCAATCCTGAAAATGCAAAGGTATGAAAATTGGGGAGGCAAAGCCAAGACCCACAGGTATTGGCTAAGGTGGAAAAGCTACAAACCCATTTTCAGGGGGGAAAGCCCTGAATTACAGAGTTTTTCACCGGAAGGAAAAAAAACCAATTATTGCGCGGGCTAACCGCCCTGGAACCGGGGGGAAAAGTTTACATGATATTAATAATGGAAAATCTTAAGAACTAGTACACTTGAGAAACCCAAACTGAGTATGACCCAGCGGGGAACCCAAAAAACGGGGGTTCAAGCACATCAAAAGTTAGAGAAAGTACAAAAAGGGGATTCCAACAGGCAGTCCCAAGCTCAGGGAAATGTCATTTCGGAGGGGGTGATGGGTTTGCTGCACCGGGGCAAAGGGTTTGGGAAGGCTTGATCCCCCGGACCCCAAGACCCGGGGGGGGTGCCCCGGTCCAGTAAATAAGGTTAGAGAGGGGACACAGGAACAAGGGGTCACAACTGGAAGCTGAAGACTCAGACGAGTCCAGGGACGTTAGGGGTATTTCTTCAGTCATAGAGTCGTCAGGAAGTGGAATAGCCTAGCAAGTGAAGTAGTGGAGGCAGGAACCATACATAGTTTTAAGAAGAGGTATGACAAAGCTCAGGAAGCAGAGAGGGAGAGGACCTAGTAGCGATCAGTGAAGAGGCGGGGCCAGGAGTGAGTCTCGACCCCTGCAACCACAATTAGGTGAGTACAAATAGGTGAGTACACACACACACACACACACACACCACCCAACAACACACCACACACACACACACAAAAAAAAAGCAAACAACACACACACACACACACCCAAACACCACCACAACACACAACCAAAAACACAACACAACACAAAAAAAAAACAAAAAAAAAAAAAAAAAAAAAAAAAAAAAAAAGCGTCATCATGGAAGAGGGTATTTGTATGTGGCAGGAGCGGCGCCTAGAGAGGGGGGCTGACGCCTCTCAAAAATTTCATCAACTTCTCCCCAAGGTTACCCCCGTCCCCTCCCCCCCTCCTAAAAAAAAATCAAGGTGCTTCAAGACAGGTCTCCTAGCCTCGTCACCCAACCAGACTGCCATCCTTAAGACCCTCATATAAAATATGTAAGGCTGTTTCTGGTATGTTGTCTCTCATACAGTTTAAAAAAGTGTTAATGAAAAGTACATGCACTCATTTTATGGATGTTGTGGCTTGATTTTAAATGACTTTCATTTAAGAATGTGTTACTTTTAATTATTAATAATAAATTGAGGGAAAAAAAATCCACCTCCGACTCCCACCTCGTTTCCGCTACAGCACACCGCCGATGTATCTAATTTTTGTCTTAAAATAAAAAATAAAAGTTTGTGATAAAACAGGCTTTCCGTCTATCAGTCGACAGCTAAGTGAGGTCTGGTGCAGAGTGCAGTCAGTGTTTGTCGATGCTGCAGAGGTCAACTAGTTAATGCAAGGCAGGTTTTAGTTGAACATTTTAATTCATGTATCTGTCTATCCGTTTTTAAAACTTTAAATGTATTTGCCTTTGTAATGCTACTTGGCAGTTCCTTAAGAGTTTCCATACTAAGACGTGTAAATACTCCCTTCAACGATATACATACAATTAAAGTGTCAATCTTTGATTCCATACTTTGTTAAAATATAAGGTCACATAAATAACTCAAAACCACAAACAAGCTGCACTAATATTTTTGTTACCCAGCTCATGACTCCATAAATAACTCCATACGACGGTAACCAGATATCAACAAAGTTCATTATACTATTTTAACTTGCTTAGCTATCTAAACTTTGGGGCCTAGATCACAGACTTATTTTATGCCATCCGCTGGATGGGTATGTGGGGAAGGGGACATAAAGATATTAAACTAAGGGTGTATATGTATATCGACTGAGGCCTTCTTCAACAGAAAAAAAATTAGGCACATGATTAGCCAAGTGGCAGATGTGTAACTTTTAATAAATATATTGTCATTTTGTTGTGCTGCGTTCCAGAGTGCATAATCTAGTAAGACTGTGTGCATCAGAAGTTCCCCTTGCTGCAGAAGTCTCAATCTCAGACTGGCACCCAGCAGTATAAATATGTTGCCTGGTGATCGCTGCAATAACAATGTGCACCTGGGAGTAGTCGTATGGGCAGTGTATGCTAGTATGTGGCCTCACACCATCCTAGCAGTGGACACAGGTGAATATGGTTTTCTTAGCATTCATTAATTTTACGAAGGCAAGAAGTTCATTTTATCAGGTTTCACTATGTTAATGGAGTTGAAAAGAAAACTTGAAATTTACATATGGTGATACAATTCATGGAACAACATATTAGTTTTTAATTATCAATAAATTTTACACTAGTGACTTGTGTGAGCACCAGTTCTGAAGAAGGATGCTCAACCAAAAGGCACCCAGGTGTACTATTTTTTAGAAAAAAAAAAAATACAAAAGTTGCAGAAATAAGGGCGGGGTCATGTTTGATATATAAAAAGCAAAATCTGGATGGAATGTCATATAATAGTGTGAAACTGATACGGGAGCTACATGGGCCGCCCGCCGCAGGTTCACTTCAAGTACTACCATCCCTCTTATCTCTCTCACATAGAGTAATTAATTAATTAATTAATAATAATAATAATATCGTTATTTATACAAGTACATATACAAGGTATACAGGCCTAGCTGACATTAATGACATACTACTATATAGAAAGCCGCTTATTATGCAGAGCATTTCGGGCAAATTAAGTCAATTTTGTCTTGGGATACGACCCACACCAGTCGACTAACACCCAGGTGCCCATTTTTACTGATGGTGGTGAACACTGACAACCGTGTAGGAAACACGCCCAATGAAATATACACCTTGCCGGGACACCGAACTCGGATCCCTCAGCGTGTAAAGCGAGAGCTTTGCCATGCAATCGCACGGCCACTGTAGAGTCAGTTGTAGCTCTTGACATGTGCTTATGTATTTTCGATATAAGTTATATCTACTCTTGTGTAAGTACAGTAAGTACCTACTTATAGCTTAGCTACTGGAACAAAGCCATGTACGTATTGTCTCGTCTTCAGTAATTCATCATGAGAAAAATTTGCCAGTAATTTTTTATACATAGCATGTTTACGTTTTATAATCCGTAATAAATAACGTGTTATCCACGATGGTTTGGCTTTCTTACTGTTTTCTACTTGTTCGTGGAATAATATTCAAAGCTCTCGGTATTTACAATTTTTTTTTTAATCTATTCCAAATTCTAAATATATATATATATATATAAATATATATATATAAATTTATATATATATATATATATATATTAATATATATTATATATAATTATATATATATATATATATATAAATAGATATAATAGATAGATAGATATAGATATGTCGTGAATTTGGGGGTTTTTCGTGCCGAATATGTAAAACTGGTCAATTAGAAGAACCCTTTAAAATTTAAGTCCCTTTCCTAAAAATTTTCTCTTATAAACGTATAAAGATCATATTTTTTCCATTAATGTTAATGTAAAAAATAATAATTTGCACTATAAGAATCTTAGAAAACTACCTAACCTTATTATAACAAGAACAATTTATTTTACCTAACCCAACTAAAATATACTTAGATTTGTTTACAATAATTTATACTAAACAAACACAGTGAAAATATATTTTTCGTTATGTCAAAAATGAATTTTGCGAAAATTGATTCTCATATAACAAAAATTTTCGCTAGTCCTATATGGCAAGACCGAGCGTTGCTATTTAATCCAAGATCGCAAGTTCTGCCTACTCGGCACGACATATATAATATAAATATATAAGATATAATATATATATATATATATATATATATATAATATATATATATATATATAATATATATATATAATATGTCTGCAGAAATAATGTAAAACTGGTCCAACTTAGCAAGAACTCATTTAAATAATCCTTTCTAAAATTTTCCTCTTATACGTTTAAAAGACATATTTTTTTCATTAATTTGATTTTTAAAAATTTATAATTTTGCACCAAAAGGAACTTAGAAAACTTACCTAACCTTATTATAACAAGCTCAAATTATTTTAGCCTAACCCAACTAAATATATTTTAGATTTTTTTTACAAATAATTTAAACTAAAACTAAACAAACACAGTGAAATATATTTTTTTCGTTAGGTTCAGAATATTTTTGGCGAAATTATGCATACAAAAATTTTCCACTTGTTCCTAGATGGCAGATTGAACGTTTGCTATTTAACCAAGATCGCAATTCTGCCTATAAGGCCACGACATATATAATAACTATATATATAAAAATATATATCTAATATATTATATATATATATATATATATATATAGATATATATATAATATAAATATATATCATATTCACAATTCACATATTACCTACAAACTGTAAAGGAAAACTGGATAACCTAAGGGAAATGGGAATTAGTGGAGGAGGAAATAATAGTTGTGGTGTACAGTGTCGGTGTCTCTTGACAAACAGGATGTTAGTTTCTTTTGATACCGGCAGATACCACAATGGTAAAAGTCTCTTTATAACAAAATTCTCTGATATTTGTATTGTCAAACATTTTTATTTGTATTACATTTTTAAAGGTTATTAGTCTTTGTGATGTTCTTATTTAGGCCATTTACACGGTATTATTTGGTTCTTTGTAAGCTATGTTAATGATCTTTCAATTATTTATTTCAATTTGGACGATTTATAAAACAAGAATGAATATCATTCAAGTAGCGCTATTGACATAAGTATTTACCTGGAATTTACCTGGAGAGAGTTCCGGGGGTCAACGCCCCCGCGGCCCGGTCTGTGACCAGGCCTCCTGATGGATCAGAGCCTGATCAACCAGGCTGTTACTGCTGGCTGCACGCAAACCAACGTACGAGCCACAGCTCGGCTGGTCAGTATACATATTATTTAAGCAGTTTTAAAAATATTGGACAATTATAACAAAATGTTGAGTTAGTTCGTTAGTTTAATATGTTTATTATGCACCCCATACCCATCCTGTGGGCGGTAGTCAGAAGATTACAGAGGTACATAATTGGTCCAGGGACTGGACTCCAAAGTTTTGATAGCTGAGCAAGTTACTGAGGTAATGAACTCACAATTACAAAGATAATGAACTCACAATTTACAAAGGTAATGAACTCACAATTTACAAAGGTAATGAACTCCAGGTAGGTCTGGTCACAATCATGACAAGTTACAAAGGTATTTACAGATTACAAAGGTACGTTATGGGTCCAGGGACTGGGCCCCCAAAGTTTTAATAGCTGAACTTGGTACAAGGGTAATGAACTCACAAGTTACAAAGGTAATGAATCCTGTAAGAATGGTTACTTACGTTTATACATGGCTACAATCATGAACAAATTATAGAGTAATGAGCAATTCACATTTCCACACCCGGTCACAACTGTAATGAGTTATTGGTGCAAATATTGCTCGTTGTGTCACACACACACACACACACACACACACACACACACACACACACACACACACACACACACACGAGCTTGGACTCGACCCCTGCAACCTCAACTAGGTGAGTACACACACACATGACAATATGAAAACGACATAGCAGCGAAAGCCAAATCTGATCCGAAAATGTTATACAGCCACATCAGGAGGAAAACAACAGTCAAGGACCAGGTAATCAGGCTAAGGAAGGAAGTAGGAGAGACAACAAGAAATGACCGTGTAGTATGTGAGGAACTCAACAAGAGATTCAAAGAAGTGTTCACAGAGGAGACAGAAGGGGCTCCAGAAAGACGGAGAGGTGGGGTACACCACCATGTGCTGGACACAGTACACACAACCGAGGAAGAAGTGAAGAGGCTTCTGAGTGGGCTAGATACCTCAAAGGCAATGGGGCCAGATAACATCTCTCCATGGGTCCTGAGAGAGGGAGCAGAGGTGCTATGTGTACCCCTAACAACAATATTCAATACATCTATCGAAACAGGGAGATTGCCTGAGGCATGGAAGACAGCAAATGTGGTCCCAATCTTTAAAAAAGGAGACAGACATGAAGCACTAAACTACATGCAAAATCATGCAAAATCATGGAAAAGATTGTCAGGAGAAGAATGGTGGAACATCTAGAAAGGAATGATCTCATCACCAGCAGCCAACATGGTTTCAGAGACGGGAAATCCTGTGTCACAAACCTACTGGAGTTCTTTGACATGGTGACAGCAGTAAGACAAGAGAGAGAAGGGTGGGTGGATTGCATTTTCTTGGACTGCAAGAAGGCGTTTGACACAGTACCACACAAGAGATTAGTGCAAAAACTGGAAGACCAAGCAGGGATAACAGGGAAGGCACTGCAATGGATCAGGGAATACTTGTCTGGAAGACAGCAGCGAGTAATGGTACGTGGCGAGGTGTCAGAGTGGGCACATGTGACCAGCGGGGTCCCACAGGGGTCAGTCCTAGGACCAGTGCTGTTTCTGGTATTTGTGAACGACATGACGGAAGGAATAAACTCCGAGGTGTCCCTGTTTGCAGATGACGAGAAGTTGATGAGAAGAGTTCATTCGATCTAAGACCAGGCGGAAATACAAAGGGATCTGGACAGGCTGCAGACCTGGTCCAGCAACTGGCTCCTGGAGTTCAATCCCACCAAGTGCAAAGTCATGAGGATTGGGGAAGGGCAAAGAAGACCGCAGACGGAGTACAGTCTAGGGGGCCAGAGACTACAAACATCACTCAAGGAAAAAGATCTTGGGGTGAGTATAACACCAGGCACATCTGAAGCGCACATCAACCAAATAACTGCCGCAGCATATGGGCGCCTGGCAAACCTCAGAACAGCATTCCGACACCTTAATAAGGAATCGTTCAGGACCCTGTACACCGTGTACGTTAGGCCCATATTGGAGTATGCAGCACCAGTTTGGAACCCACACCTAGCCAAGCATGTAAAGAAACTAGAGAAAGTGCAAAGGTTTGCAACAAGACTAGTCCCAGAGTTAAGAGGTATATCCTATGAGGAGAGGTTAAGGGAAATCAACCTGACGACACTGGAGGACAGGAGAGATAGGGAAGACATGATAACGACTTACAAAATACTGAGAGGAATTGACAAGGTGGACAAAGACAGGATGTTCCAGAGATTGGACACAGTAACAAGGGGACACAGTTG